GGTGTTTTTCAGCGTCAGGGACTGTGAGACTAGTCAGGATCGAGGGAAAGATCAATGGTGCAAAGTTCAGAGAGATCCTTGATTAAAACCTGCTCCAGAGCGCTCAGAACCTCAGACTGGGGTGAAGGTTCACCTTCCAACAGGACAACGACCATAAGCACACAGCCAAGATAACACAGGAGTGGCTTCGGGACAAGTCTCTGAATGTCCTGGAGTGGACCAGCCAGAGCCCGGACTTGAACCCAATCCAACATCTCTGGAGGGACCTGAAAATAGCTGTGCAGCGACGCTCCCCATCCAACCTGACAGAGCTTGAGAGGATCTGCAGGGAAGAATGGGAGAAACTCCCCAAATACAGGTGTGCCAAGCTTGTAGCGTCATACCCAAGAAGACTCAAGGCTGTAATCGCTGCCAAAGGTGCTTCAACAAAGTACTTGTGAAAATATGATTTTTCAGTTTTTTATTTTGAATAACTTTTGCTTTGTCAATATGGGGTGTTGTGTGTAGATTGATGAGGGGGGGGAAATATTTAATCAATTTTACATTTTAGTCATTTAGCAGACGCTCTTATCCAGAGCGACTTACATTTTTCATACTGGCCCCCCGTGGGAATCGAACCCACAACCCTGGCGTTGCAAGTGCCATGCGCTACCAACTGAGCTACAGGAGGCCATTATGTTAGTATATATTTTAGAATAACAAAATATGGAAAAAGTCAAGGGGTCTGAATACTTTCCGAATGCACTGTAAATTGTTCTTCTACATCATAATAATTATATGTCTGCATTGCAATTTGTCTTCATTTTGGCAGATTAACTCATGTTTATTTCTGTAGATTAACTCATGTTTGTTTCTGTAGATTAACTCATGTTTGTTTCTGTAGATTAACTCATGTTTATTTCTGTAGATTAACTCATGTTTATTTCTGTAGATTAACTCGTGTTTATTTCTGTAGATTAACTCATGTTATTCTGTAGATTAACTCGTGTTATTCTGTAGATTAACTCATGTTTATTTCTGTAGATTAACTCATGTTTATTTCTGTAGATTAACTCATGTTTGTTTCTGTAGATTAACTCATGTTTATTTCTGTAGATTAACTCATGTTTATTTCTGTAGATTAACTCATGTTTATTTCTGTAGATTAACTCATGTTTATGCTCCTTTTTTCTTGTTCTCCGGAAACAGCAGGCAACGACCCCTACTGTACTGTTCCACAAAGCCACAGAGTTGGTACCAATATTGACGTGGGCCATATTCAAACAAACAGATGCCTCCCTGGCCACCAGTGCATATTTCCAAATGTTAGCATATAATGACAATAAAATGTAAAAACTATGCCGGTATTATTTTGTCCATTAATGTTTATTATATTATATTGTTAGCAAAAAAATATTACAATTTGTTAGAGTAGCCATAATTCATAAATGGTACCATACAGGGTTCTAAATGGAACCAATTTTTGTTCAGTGAAGAAGAAGCCTTGGGATTCAAATCAAAGAACCCTATAAAAGGGTTCTACACAGAACTTTTAGGGGTTCCATATATGAAGCAAGCGATAGAAACCTTTTTGAATCTATAAGGACAACAATTTTTTCTAAGTGTATAATATGCCATTTAATTTCTTGTTTAGTTTTTTTGTCTAGATTCAACAGTTCATCAACGTTGGTCAATATTACTTTACTGTAACATAAAATATCAATAATAGGATTTACTTGCCCTCAAAAAGCAATATCACCTCTGAGAGAAGCAGAGTTTCCCAAACCTTCATGGCTTTTTCAAGCACTCTTTGAGCAGAGAGCAACTTTTAATCTGTAGAAAGACTTATAATTGATCTGCGTAGGGCAGCAATTAGGCTACTTGAATTAGATTGTTTCAGGTGATGGAAACTTCAAGTGAGAAAGCCCCTATGACCAAGACTGGCCCAGCCTGCACACTGTAGTCTTTGTAATCATAGTTTCTTTACCATGGCTAATTGAGTGCCAACTTTATGTCATGTGCACTTGCACACTGGGAGCTACAGTTTATTATGAATTCAATCAAAATTGGAGATCAGAAAGGATTCTGGATAAAAAATATATCAGATTTTCATTGATGAGACCGACTTAGTCATATGACATCAGAGAGACATAAGTAGACCATGAGCATGTTACACTCAAAATGACAGAAGATTTCCATCTATAGGACACACTCAGAACTGCAGTTAGGTAATAATTTCTCTGCCATTATTCAAAATGTTACATTTAATTCAATATTAGCCATTTTATTTGTTTAGCCAGGGTAGTCAACATAAAATGTTAGATTATACACTCTGACTATTACAGTTCACATTGTTACACTGTCATTGCATTTATTACAGCGTAATAATAATTAATAATTGTCCATTAATTTATGTATCTCAAATGGATCACTGATTAAAAACGTCTCTCATGTTATGTTGTTGCTATTCACCTTTCTTTACGAACTCAGAAACAAAACAATGTCTGAACGTTCTGTTTTGTGGAGGACTTCCATTGCAGTGTTCTTGCCATAGCCGTTTTGCTAACATTAGCTAGCTAGCTCAAAACGTTGTGGGATCACACTGCAGGCCTTAATGCTCAAATCAGTTTTGTTTTTCCAAATCCGTTTTGGAATACTGACTGTCCAAACCGCAAGAGCCAAGTGACCAAATTGGATTTGTGTGTGTTCAGACAGCAGTCATTTGCTGACATGGCTACGCTAGTTGTCATAGTAATGAGGGGCGTGTGCACAGCAATGGTCGCTGTTGAGGGGAGGACGGCTCATAATAATGTCTGGAACGGAGCAAATGGAATGGCATGAAACACATGGAAACCATGTGTTTGATGTATTTGATACCATTCCACTAATTCCATTCCAGCCATTATCACGAGCCCATCCTCCCCAATTAAGGTGCCACCAACCTCCTGTGGTGCACCGTGGATAAGAGGCAATCTGTAATTTCGATTAAGACATTAATGACCGAGCTAGGACTCACGTAGTCAATATAACTATTTGTTTAGCACTTTTTAAATGTACAGCGACAAAATTCAGAACATGGGCCGTTCTTACAGTGTTCTCCCTGTACACCAAGTCAGAACCGTAGGATAAATAAAGTGGGCATATAAGCAGACAATGAAAGCTCTTACAATATTTGATTACATTTCTCTAAAACAGGTTATAGGCTACATGTGCACCACCAAGTCAGAACAGTAGGCGAAATTAAGAGTGGTAAATAGACCAAATTATTAGGGTGAGGCACGTGGGCTACTAACATCTTACTACACAACAAACACTTAGTGTTACTTTCTTAGCTACAGTATACATATCTCCCTGGCATATTACATCATTTATGCAGCAGCATACAATACATTTTTGGACTCACCTTGTTGTGCTGTGCTCACTTGAACAGGAAGGTGGCGCTGTGGTCCTTCGCGGGCAAATTTTGTCATCAAAGAAAGAGAAAAAGGCCGGATTTACAATTCTAAGTTAGATGACTGTTCAAAATGTATTTTCCCAGTCGAAACTCGTTTATTCCCGACTTCCCAGTTGTCTTGAACTCAGTGAAGTCAAGTTTTCGCTGTTCCGAGTTAACAGTTGTTTTGAGCGCGGCAAAAATCATGCTTCATTGACTGCATGGCCAATGTTGAACGTTTATCATTTTAAATTTGGAAAAGAGCCCCTTAATCCCGGTTTAGGGACCACACACCCACTCCACTGAATAGCAGACTAGTGATTGCTTTGCAATGCTTGCAGTTAGCCACTGTCACCGATTCCTTCCAAACCACTCATTGTTGAATTTGCGATTTCCAACTTGTTGTGTAATGTTTATGTCCAATGGCCGATGACCACCGATATGTTTTATCTAGAATTTATCTTCATTATTTATCTTCATATGACAAGGATTAAAAAGGATTTGCCAGTAGATTGTCGACTTGATTCATGATGATGACTGCTAGCTAAGATTTTGAAAGTATGATGTTGACATGATCAGTCCAATCAAAGCTACTGTACATATAACGTGATTTGACATCATTTTATCTGTGGCCAGTGACCTTGAGCCTTCTTGGATGGGCACTTCTAATGTAACTCTATGGCAGAACCCAAGGGGCTTGAATTTTCTAGCTCTACCCTTAGACTTGGCTGTGACGTAGTGTGCCCATGAGTGACAGAACACTGAGCCAATCACGGCGCAACCCACCGTTTTTTCTGCTGGCTTGCCTCACCACCACAGAAAGCACTGAGCTAGTCTGAAACACCTGCATTTTGGAGCTGCCTTACTCAAGAAAACAAAAAAGAGACCATGTTTGTATGCGGCTTTATTACCTCAATGATATATATATATATTTTTTTACATTGTTTGCAAACTGATATGTGACACGTATTAATGACAAAATAACATGCAAAACAGGCAAGCCCCCAAAACAGCTCTGTCCCACCTGCCCTGAATGACAGGTCGCCACTGCAAACCACCTATGAAGGTGGTTTGAAATGTGGCTTGAAATATCTGATTCCATGTGCTTTTTGGCTGTTTAGACTGCAGGAAAAATAACAGATTCGAATCGGATATGCAAATAAATAGGATTTGAGTCACTTCAAATTGCCAATTTGAACACGGCTTACTAGAGCTCGCTAACTTGTAGTCCTAAAAAACGGAAATGATTTACCTCTAGTTCGTTCAGCCATTCCTATAGGGCAAATTATTGGGAAAATAATAAGGTTTTGGGATAAACACATAAAATAAGGTCTGAGGTTAACACAGGCTTAGGATATCTTATACGTTTTGTTCTATGAGATCATATCAGTCAGTTTAACATGACGTTTATGAATTATGAAGCCTTTATGTGCTTCAAGGGCTTTTTCTGATTACATAAATGCTTCAAAATTCACAAAAAGTGACGTTAGCTGATGAAGATGATCTCATAGAACAAAACGTATAATGTCTCCCAAACCTGTGTTTACCACGTACACATCATTGGGCTACACTGTGGTACACTGCGGTCCCATAATCAAACTACAAATCCCACGATACCTCCATCTTGGCTCATCTAAACAGGAAATTACGGATCTGTGAGAAGTTGTTTAGTTACTTTCATTTTCACTTTTTGAGCTGACTAACCGTGACTATTTTCAGCGTTGTGCGCTATAAGACATTTGGGAAAATCCGCGCATTCTTTCAACTATTTAGTTGCTGCCTATTATTGCATTGCAAAAGGTCATTTTTGCCTATTAAGTATATTTATTCCCATCACAAGATGACTTCCATAGACATTCGCCCTGAGTCGAAGAAACAGGTAATTTGTCATTTGTTGTGGAATAACAAAGGTAACCTATCTAATGTAGTCTAATATAATAATTTATGACTATAGCCTGTCAATATAATTTGTGTCAGATAACTCGGCAGCCCTGTTCAATCTTCAAGGCGTTTTGATATTTAGACCAACAATAAGGCCATGTGTTCACATCAAAGTCTCATAGACAAGACGTAACATAGTAAACGTACATCTTGGGACGATCAAATTACTATTATATATATATATATATATATATATATATATATATATATATATATATATATATATGTATATATATATATATATATATATATATATATATATATATATATGTGTGTGTGTGTGTGTGTGTGTGTGTGTGTGTGTGTGTGTGTATGTTTTGGTATGGTTAGATAAGACAGAAGGTTACTTAAGGCAAAGGGTGGGCGTATAATGCGAACGTCTAGTAACGCAAAGGTTGCGTGTTTGAATCTCATCACGGACAACTTTTGCGTTTTAGCTAATTAGCAACTTTCCAACTAATTACTACTTTTTAGCTACTTTGCAACTACTTAGCATGTTAGCAAACCCTAACCCTTTAACCTAACCTTAACCTTAATTCCTAGCCTAGCTAACGTTAGACACCTAGTCACCTAGCTAACGTTAGCCACAACAAACTGTAAACTTAACATATCATACATTTTGTAAATTCATAACATATTGTACGAATGGCAATCCGTAACATATTGTACGAATTGCAATTTGTAACATATTACAAAATGGATGATGGACATCCACAAATTAATACATACCATATGAAACGTAACATATCATGCTAATTGGAGTGTCCCGGATTGACATTTACTATGTTACATCAGGTGAACCTGACCCCAGCTATCACAGTCCAGTGGAAAGTAACTGTCCCAACATTATAGAGACACTGGGAGTTGGGTTTGCTACTGTGAATTCAAAACCTTTTTCTGTCTTTGGTTTCAATTCCCTAGGTTGATGATTTCTGCACTCAGCTCACTAAAGAGGTAGGCCCTTAGTGGTGCAGGTCTACTTGAATAATAACACTTGAGATGGTAATCATAACTGTGTCCAACAATGGTAACTGATGTATTACAGGCAGAGACCCTGGTCACGTCATTCTTCCCTCAGAAGATTGCAGAGATGGAGATGCTGTTGAAGGTGAGGCCATGAAAAAACACAAGCACACCTGTCAATATCAGTCCAAATACCTTGATTCAAAGCTATTGTGCATAAGTATGCAAATAGTATCTATTTTTGTTCATGCTTATGTGAAATGGTCCCCAGACGTCCTTAAGCATAGATGGCCTGGCAGCTCTGAAGGCCCCTCTGGACATCCCAATACCAGACCCGGCTAAAGAAGAAGCAAAGAGAAAGAGAAAAGAGGAGGTACAGACGTTTCACAAATTCGGCATTCTATCATGATTAACCCCTTGGAGTACACTGGAATCATTAAAAGTAGTATCGACCATACATACATACACACATTAATGAATGTATCAAAATCCTTCTCCCACCCCAATCCTCACTTGTTTTGCAGAAAGAGGCAAAGGAAGAGAAGAAAGAGACAAAGAAAGAGAAGGACAGCGAGAAAGAAGATGAAGACGCAGGTAGTTAAGACACAATACCACCGATTTACAACTGCGGTTAGCTGTCAAATTGGCTGTATGCACAGATCTAGGATCAGCTTACTCTTCCCCTAATCCTAACCTTAACCATTAGAGGGGGACACACAAATGAAATCTTAGACCAGTGCTTTGGTATAACTTAATCCTACTCTGAGTTTTCTCATGGTGTTTCTCCCTAGGGCCTCCCTGTGGTCCGATCCCCTGCAACGAGAGAGTAGAAAGTCTTCTGAAGGAGATCAAGCCTCAGATCCAGCTGCTGAAGGAGAAACTCAACACAGTCAGTCAGCCCTTTGTCCCTCTGTTAGTCTCTGTGTGGGCCAAACTGTTATTTTAAATCTAAAATTCACCAGCACATCTCTTTTCCTAAATAGGTGAGAAGGCCCTTGTAAGTGTCTAGAGAAATAGATAAATACTATGATCTCTTGCTCTGGCAGGTGTCAATGTGGGTGCAACTTCAGATTCCCAAAATTGAAGATGGGAACAACTTTGGGGTGGCTGTACAGGTCAGACTTTCTGAGCTTAATAAAATGATGATTGTCATATCAGTCATCATACCTTGATAATACTGTTGGTAGGCCTATACTTATAATGTTTTTCCACAGGAAAAAGTGTTTGAATTGTTGACCAACACTCGCACCAAGATCGAGGAATTCCAGACACAGATCTCAAAGTAAGAGACCTTTAACCAAAAGATCCACTCATTTTAATTAGTTGTGTAATTACTGTTTACATTCATATCTAATTAGTTATGTAGTAGTTGTGTTAATGTGACTAACAAACACCTTCGTTATCTGTGTTGTGTTGTCAGGTACTACAGCGAGAGAGGGGATGCTGTTGCCAAGGCCTCAAAACAGCCTCATGTGGTTAGTATCCGTGTGTGTGTGTGTGTGTGTGTGTGTGTGTGTGCGTTGACCATATTGTGTGTAACTATACCCCCAGGGAGACTACAGGCAGTTGGTGCATGAGCTGGACCAGTACCAGTACTGTGAGCTGCGCATCGTGGTTCTGGAGATCCGCAACATCTATGTAAGCTAAGATGCCTCATGTATCATACCTCTTTTTCCTTCATTAGAAGTGCTCAGCACCCCCATAATTTAACCCCTAAGTTAAATAAACTTTCCCAGTGTGAACAAGTATTTACCTCGACTTCAATGGAAACCAAACCCTGTTATCAAGCGAACAAATTGATTGGGTTCATAATTGCCAATGCCTCTCCTGCTCCTCACATTGTAGTTACCTACCTATCTTCCTCTGTTTGATGCCCTTGTTGTCAAGAAAGGGCCGATGTACAGTGGGGAAAAAACGTTTTTAGTCAGCCACCAATTGTGCAAGTTCTCCCACTTAAAAAGATGAGAGAGGCCTGTAATTTTCATCATAGGTGCACGTCAACTATGACAGACAAATTGAGGAAAAAAAATCCAGAAAATCACATTGTAGGATTTTTAATGAATTTATTTGCAAATTATGGTGGAAAATAAGTATTTGGTCACCTACAAACAAGCAAGATTTCTAGCTCTCACAGACCTGTAACTTCTTCTTTAAGAGGCTCCTCTGTCCTCCACTCGTTACCTGTATTAATGGCACCTGTTTGAACTTATCAGTATAAAAGACACCTGTCCACAACCTTAAACAGTCACACTCCAAACTCCACTATGGCCAAGACCAAAGAGCTCTCAAAGGACACCAGAAACAAAATTGTAGACCTGCACCAGGCTGGGAAGACTGAATCTGCAATAGGTAAGCATCTTGGTTTGAAGAAATCAACTGTGGGAGCAATTATTAGGAAATGGAAGACATACAAGACCACTGATAATCTCCCTCGATCTGGGGCTCCACTCAAGATCTCACCCCGTGGGGTCAAAATGATCACAAGAACGGTGAGCAAAAATCCCAGAACCACACGGGGGGACCTAGTGAATGACCTGCAGAGAGCTGGGACCAAAGTAACAAAGCCTACCATCAGTAACACACTACGCCGCCAGGGACTCAAATCCTGCAGTGCCAGACATGTCCCCCTGCTTAAGACAGTACATGTCCAGGCCCGTCTGAAGTTTGCTAGAGTGCATTTGGATGATCCAGAAGAGGATTGGGAGAATGTCATATGGTCAGATGAAACCAAAATAGAACTTTTTGGTAAAAACTCAACTCGTCGTGTTTGGAGGACAAAGAATGCTGAGTTGCATCCAAAGAACACCATACCTACTATGAAGCATGGGGGTGGAAACATCATGCTTTGGGGCTGTTTTTCTGCAAAGGGACCAGGACGACTGATCCTTGTAAAGGAAAGAATGAATGGGGCCATGTATCGTGAGATTTTGAGTGAAAACCTCCTTCCATCAGTAAGGGCATTGAAGATGAAACGTGGCTGGGTCTTTCAGCATGACAATGATCCCAAACACACCCGGGCAACAAAGGAGTGGCTTCGTAAGAAGCATTTCAAGGTCCTGGAGTGGCCTAGCCAGTCTCCAGATCTCAACCCCATAGAAAATCTTTGGAGGGAGTTGAAAGTCCGTGTTGCCCAGCGACAGCCCCAAAACATCACTGCTCTAGAGGAGATCTGCATGGAGGAATGGGCCGAAATACCAGCAACAGTGTGTGAAAACCTTGTGAAGACTTACAGAAAAAGTTTGACCTGTGTCATTGCCAACAAAGGGTATATAACAAAGTATTGAGAAACTTTTGTTATTGACCAAATACTTATTTTCCACCATCATTTGCAAATAAATTCATTAAAAATGCTTCAATGTGATTTTCTGGATTTTCTTTTCTCATTTTGTCTGTCATAGTTGATGTGTACCTATGATGAAAATTACAGGCCTCTCTCATCTTTTTAAGTGGGAGAACTTGCACAATTGGTGGCTGACTAAATACTTTTTTTCCCCACTGTAGGTGATGATGAATTTATATGTTTGATATGTCTATCACAGTGCATTTCTTGACGTAAAGCAAATATCTGTGTGAAACAAACAATAAATAAAATATCTATCTTATCTAATGATGAAAGGCTTTCAGTGATGTAATTACCCTGCTATTTATGTCACCCATTCACCAGGCCGTGCTGTTTGACATCATCAACAAGAACTATGACAAGATCAAGAAGCCCAGAGGGGACTGCAAGGCCCTTATCTACTGATCAACTGACTCTTGTGGTGCACATTCACCGGAGACAGCAATACAGCGACACACACTCTTACTCACCCATTCACAGGTTATGATACAAATCGGATAGTGTAACATGTTAAAACGCTTGTAGGGTAACTGAATACCTTCAGACACTGCATTTAAAAACGTTTTCATTTTCATCAATGATTGAAAAAAAACTGCTGTATTACACAATCATTTTATTCAGATTTCAAAATAAAGCAGCGATAACTGGCATACCATGAAGTGAGTATTTGTTTTGCCTCATGGTGAGATTTGAAAGTTTTAGACTTTCTAAATTCTGTGGTAATGTACATCATCTTCCTATTATTATCAAATTTGATATTCTTGGTGTTAGGAGTTATCCCATTGAATATAAAAAGCACCAGAAAAGGGCAAACAAAAATGTAATTGTTTGAGTTTTTATAAAATATCACGCAGAGACCTTTTTGCTATGGAGTCATATCCTTTATTATTTTCATCTAGGGTGCAAATAATATTCATCACATAATATTCTAGCCAAATACATTAATCCTTTGGCCACACATCATGAACACCCCTCTCGCTGTATGGCTCTCTCTGAGCTGTGGTGAGAAGTCCCTCTCCAGGCCACCCAGGACAGCACCAGCTGGGCTGCATGCGATACCAGCCCTGATACATCCCCCTCCAGCCCAGACAGCCTAGAGCTCCCCCTAGCAGCTGGGAGGGGAACTGCGGGAAGTAAGCCAGCAGACAGAGCAGCAGAAACAGCCACAGACCCAGTAGGGAGACGCAGAGCAGGAAGAGCAGGCGAAGCGGGGGCCCCGAGGGCCCTCCCAGGGCTAGGTAGGGCCCCAACACTGCAGTCTCCTCGGCCAGGAGCAGGCAGCAGAGGCAGAGGAGGAGAGCGTCCTCCGAGACCTCCCATCCCCGCCACAGCATGCCCGCTTTCAGGCAGGAGGCCTTGCTCTCGCCCTCATGGAGCAGGAGTAAGGACTTCCCTGGGACACCGGCTCCCTGGCCAAGGTTCAGGCCCCCATCCAGGGTAGCAGGCATGGGCTCGTAGCAGCTGCCTGCCATGTTCTCCAGCAGAGTCAGGAGACTGCGAGAGCCCCACCACAGTGCTCCCACGGCGGCTATCCGTGAGAGGTGGCGAAGGGAGAGAGCGAGGGATCGACGGATGGAGAAGGAGAGGAGGAAGATGAAGGAGCCAGTGAAAACACAGGTCCAGCCCCAGCCTGATCGCAGGAACATCCTGAGAGAGAATCCAAAGCAGAGGTATCCAGTATAAATGTAAGATGGCTAAATAACTCTGGACCAGGGGCGGATTGGCCTTCTGGCAAATGCCAGATGGGCTGGACCATTTTTTAGTTGGGTGGCCTGGTCGAAATTGACACACACAAAAATATTTATATATGAAGAAGGTTATGTGGCCCATGGGCCAGTTTTTTTTATTTTATTGTATTTTTTTTGCGCAATTTCTCTGTTATACTCCTCTATAATGAGCCTTTGGCTGCTCAGTGGGAAACGGCCAGCCCCCCTACCAAGATGGGCTGGCCCGGTTTTCTGAACTAACATTCAAAGGCGGCATCAGCAAAGAGACCTGCAACATCTAAAACCATGATTTGGTCAAACCGTAAAGTGCAATATCCTGATGATTCCTGTAATGAAAGTGTGTGCCTTGTGCCCTTGCTGGTGCCAGCTGCTGTGAAGAGCAAGTCACTCTCCTCTCCCCCCATGAGCTCAACAGAAAAATGTGTTCTGATCGTTTAACATTTCAAAATGCAATTGTGGGAAAAACACAGCTTTGGAAGCTTTGTCCCCTTGTCCCTATCGAAGAGAGGAGGGTCTCAGCATTCTGTAGGTATACTTTTTATTTCTCAACTCTCAATATTGATCTCAATAGCAACTATTTTACAACCAAGATATTTGATATGGCTTTGAGATATGGAGTGGCACGCATGCGAAATGTGCACCGGCCATTGTGAGGGCATAGGCCTGCCTATAGGTCTCATGGGCAGTAGCCTACAACTGCAACGTTTTTTAGGACATTATATTTACTGTTGGATGAATGCATGGCTACCTGCAGTGGGTGTTATATTTAGAGTTAGCGGTCTAGTTAATGTGCTTTGAGTTTCCACTTCCTCAGGTGTTGAACCCCAAATGAATTTGCCTATGATATTAGTTAGTGCACATAAAGATGTATGTAATTCATCACTATTGAACAACAACAAAAAAAATCTATAGTCTAATTGCCAACCCAAAATTCATGATAATCACTGTATTCGGTTGTTGACTGCGCATCAAAATATCTTGAATCATGCATTCCTGCTTGGACGTGTTCGATGAAACAACTTTCTTCTTGAATACCTCAGTACTCTAATTATTACACTTCTTAATGAATGACTTTATGATTAATTGGGTTAGACCAAGTCATGGGCTGGTGCCACTGACTGTAAAAGTTAGTCTGGAGCCCTGTAATAGTCGTTAACACTTAGGGTAGGTGTTGATTCAGGGAAACGCATATGACGGGCACTCATTTGCATTATAAACTGGGTGGTTCAAGCCCTGAAAGCTGGTTGGCTGACAGCCGTGGCATATCAGACCATATACCACGGGTATGACAAAACATGTATTTTTACTGGTCTAATTACGTTGGTAACCAGTTTATAATAGCAATAAGGCACCTCGGAGGTTTGTGATATATGGCCAATATACCGCGGCGAGCACAGTGATGTGGGCTGGTGTGGATAAAATGCCAGGGCCGAATTCTTGTCCCAGTCCGCGCCTGCTCGGGACAGAACTAGATGATATGGTCACTGGGTGAATATTATGTGTGAAATTAGGAAAACAAAAACAACACATTCATTATCACAAACCAACAACAAGAGAGCTTTGAAAGAATGGAACTTTGATCTACTCTCTTCAACATTCTCTATCATGCTCATGCCCATTTAATCCACATGAATAGTGGCTCTCCATAATACTGTTGGGTGTTGTCAAAAAATACCTCACCTGTAGAGGTAGTGGTTCCTGTTTGCAAAGATGCTGTACTTGGACACCCACAGACTCAGGGCTGGTCCAAATAGAACCACACCTGACAACAGGAGGTGAAAATGGCGTCTGAATACGGCACTGCAAAGTAGTCCAGCCCAAAGGTCTGTAACAACCACCAGAACAGAGGTTAGGACCATCGTGACAAGCTTCACCGGTCGGCTTTGGTCCTTAGCCAGTCGTGTAGTTTCTCCCTTGTCACTTTCTATAGTTCCGTTTGATTTGTTTTTAAGCTTTCGGTCCATTGTTTTTATTCAACTTTCTTAAGAGTCGCATCTTTCCATTCTTGTGTTTTTATTGTCCTCTTCCTACGGGCCGAGAGTGTGCTCTGTCATCGAGTCTGTACTGTGCTGTACACTCTTACCCTGTGTTCCCTCTCCTTTATCTCTGGCTGTCAGAGATCACATGGTTTATACCCATTCTTTCCTACCCCCCTACTCACTGCATTTTGAAAAAAGCCAGTCTCCTTTTTTGGCATAGTCCTCTCCACTAGGCCCTCCATTCAAAGGCTCAGCTGTTGATGCTTTTGAATTTCAGTCCATCCCTGTTGTCTGCGTTTGTCACTAGCAACACCTGCCTCACAGAGTGTTCTCGAAGGTCCATTGCACCACTTAACATCCCATAACATGCTTCTCCATGTATCCTACCACTTAGCATCTGCCTGTCTTCATTCAGGAATGAGCCCCTGAGGGTTTATCACACAGACAGACTTACTAATAGCCCCGGAGGCTACTCCCCAGACAGACAGCTCCCATCCTCTATCTGGGCTATTTGCTCACTCGCTCTCTGAGGGTGCCATGGAATCTGACTCTAATTTTAGAGCACTAACAGCATTCCTGCCATTACAATACCCCCCCGGAACTCAGCTGTAGATTTATGGCAGCTAATTGTCTGTTAGCTGCGGGGGGCAACCCACTAATTTAAAGCTGTTGATTGTGTTTGATTTTTTCTCCCTCTTGCTTCCTATTGCTCAAGCAGCGAATTTTATAGAAACCCCATCTGTAAAGCCCATTACTGCAAAGGTTGGACAGGTGGCTCTAAGTAGTAACAATTAATGTTGAGCTATCAGATCACACCCCCCCCCCCCCTCCCCCCCAGCAGGTGGGTCTGCCTGTGCTCCCAAACACGCACTGCTCCGTCCCACTGTGAAAAGATAGAGAGAGAGAGAGAGGTGTCGTATGTAATTTGACAGGAAGGATGAGAGAACTTACAAGCACATTGGTTTAATAAGAGAAGTATTCTGAATGGTCTTTGGAGACTTTTTCAATTCATTCATAGAATTTGAATTAACTTCCTGAATTCACTGAATTGAAATGGAATTGAGCGCATCCCCTCAGTAGAGTGGAGCAGAGCTAGTTACAGACTTCCAGAGCTGCTGCTGATGTTGTCCTGGTGGGGATGCCAGCTGACATCCCTCACACAGGCGTCATGGTCAGAGAGTCGGGTCACAACGCCAGCTTCCAGAGCTGCTGCTGATGTTGTCCTGGTGGGGACGCCAGCTGACATCCCTCACACAGGCGTCATGGTCAGAGAGTCGGGTCACAACGCCAGCTTCCAGAGCTGCTGCTGATGTTGTCCTGGTAGGGACGCCAGCTGACATCCCTCACACAGGCGTCATGGTCAGAGAGTCGGGTCACAACGCCAGCTTCCAGAGCTGCTGCTGATGTTGTCCTGGTGGGGATGCCGGCTGACATCCCTCACACAGGCGTCATGGTCAGAGAGTCGGGTCACAACGCCAGCTTCCAGAGCTGCTGCTGATGTTGTCCTGGTGGGGACGCCAGCTGACATCCCTCACACAGGCGTCATGGTCAGAGAGTCGGGTCACAACGCCAGCCATCAACATGTCATAGACTGGGCACACACACACACACAGTTAGCTCACATTACAGTGCTCTCGACTCATTTAGCAGACGCTCTTATCCAGAGCGACTTACAGGAGCAATTAGGGTTAAGTGCCTTGCTCAAGGGCACATCGACAGATTTTTCACCTAGTCGGCTCAGGGATTAGAACCAGTGATCTTTCGGTTACTGGCACAACGCTCTTAACCACTAAGCTACCTGCCACCTTGACTCCTTCTCGTGTGCATGCACGTCACACACACCCCACGGGCATAGCGACTCACCGATGACCTTCCCAGTGGAACAGCCAGTGTAGATTAACTTCTGTCCGGTGGTGAACTCCGGGGAGAAGCGAGAGCGTATGAGCGTGTGCAGAACGCCTGCCAGCTTGTGTCTATTCAGGGCTGGGAGGACGGACGGACAACAGGCGAACAACAGGGTAGTCAATTCGACAGTCAAGTAAAGCTGCCTCAAGTACAGCTGAACAACAATGGGAGGGGTAGTAGGAGATGAATGATCAAACATACTGTACACCCATGTCATCAATACTTAATCCAGCAAATATGAGATTTTCTGAGAGCAGATGTAAAATCTAGAGTAGATTACAGTCGGATTGGAGTGGCCTTTTCAACTACTGTTTCTGGCCCACTTGCTAATCTAATGTCATTTAGACTAGAACCCAGTACAGATGTACAACAACCTCATGGCCTCCCCAAACATTCATAAACCCCTGCCCTCCTGGCCCCTCACCTCTCTGGGGAACATGACCCCCTTCCACCCTGGCCCCTCACCTCTCTGGGGAACCTGACCCCCTTCCACCCTGGCCCCTCACCTCTCTGGGGAACCTGACCCCCTTCCACCCTGGCCCCTCACCTCTCTGGGGAACCTGACCTCCTTCCCCCCCTGGCCCCATCACCTCTCTGGGGAACATGACCCCCTTCCCCCCCCTGGCCCCATCACCTCTCTGGGGAACATGACCCCCTTCCACCCCTGGCCCCTCACCTCTCTGGGGAACCTGACCCCCTTCCCCCCCTGGCCCCTCACCTCTCTGGGGAACCTGACCCCCTTCCCCCCCTGGCCCCTCACCTCTCTGGGGAACCTGACCCCCTTCCACCCCTGGCCCCTCACCTCTCTGGGGAACCTGCTGCCAGCGGTAGTCCCAGTTCTGGTGGACGATGGACAGCCGCGAGGCCGCCAGGCCCTCCTTGGAGGAGAACTCACGTCCCACAGCTTGTTGGACTGGTCCTTTGAGATACTGATCGGATAACGTGCATCGCCCTGCAAGGTGAAGAGAGCAGGTTTATAATGGACCTGTATTTTCCTGACAGTGATTAGTGGAGTCAACAGACACACAGAGAGCAGGTTTTTACCTTGATGTGCACAGTTTGAAGGTGAAGTGGTTACAGAGTTTTAGGCCCAGTTCAAATACTAAAAATGCCTCCTTCCTCACTAACGAAGCCCTTACTGATTGGTGAAACGGCACTGCCTGGCTTTCACCTGTCCAGTTATGTCAGAACAGTTCATTTGTGTATAAACAGTGTACAAACAGTAAATTGTCCCATGTATTTGTTTAGGGCTTTGATATGGATGATTACATACATTCTATCTTACTGTAAGAGGGGGATTACACACGGTAGTGGTTTTTTCTATTACCTTGCTGTGTATGAAGGTGATGCCGTCTCTGTGTCCAGACAGCTGGCCCACGGGCTGGGGTCTGTCCTCCCGCAGCGTCCATCTGTCCCACACCTTGCGTCGTCACTGCCTGAGAACAGGAGCTGGGACGAGCTGTCGGCAAACGCCACTGTGTTCACATCGTCCTCGTGAGCATCGATCTGAGGAGAGAAAAGGAGAGAGAGGGGGTGAAAGAAAGAGGGAGGAGAGAGAGTGTGGAGGAACGAGAGAGGGGAGAGAGAGAGAGGGGGGGAGAGAGAGAGAGAGGGGGGGGGAGAGAGAGAGAGAGAGAGAGAGAGAGAGAGAGGACAGAGAGAGTGACCAAGAGGGGAGGGGAGAGAGAGAGAGACCGAGAGGGGAGGAGAGAGAGAGAGACAGATGGCAGAGGCCAACCACACAATGATGTGGATCATGACCAGTGGCGACCCGTTTTGAGCCCCACATTTATAGCATGTTATTTTGGCATTAATACGTGTCACATTACAGTTTGCAAACAATGTAAAAAAAATTATATATATATATCATTGAGTTAATAAAGCCGCATACAAACATGGTCTCTTTTTTGTTTTCTTGAGTAAGGCAGCTCCAAAATGAAGGTGTTTCAGACTAGCTCAGTGCTTTCTGTGGTGGTGGGGCAAGCCAGCAGAAAATTCGGAGCGTAGGGGTTGGTAATGTTCTCTAGTTGCATCGTGATTGGCTCAGTGTTCTGTCACTCATGGGGACACTACCTCACTGCCAAATCTAAGGGTAGACTTAGAAAATGCAAGCCCTTTGGGTGCTGCCATACAGTTACATTAGACGTGCCCTTCCAAGAAGGCTCAAGGTCATTGGCCACAGATAAAATGACACAAAATCACGTTATACCTACAGTAGCTTTGATTGGACTGATCATGTCAACATCTTACTTAGCTAGCAGTCATCATCATGAATCAAGTTGACAATCTACTGGCAAATCCTTTTTAATCCTTGTCATATGAAGAGAAATTATAGATAAAGCGTATCGGTGCTCATCGGCCATCGGACATAAACATTACACAACAAGTTGGAAACCGCAAATTCAACAACTTTCTTTGATGACAACATTTTCCCGCAAAGGGGGGGGGGGGGGGGGGGGTACACACCCCCATCCACATCGACGGGGCAGCAGCAGTGGAGAGGGTCAAGGGCACCAAGTTCCTCGGTGTCCACATCAATGAGGACTTAACATCGTCCTCTCACACCAGCAGTTGTGAAGAACACACGTCAGGAGGCTGAAACGATTTGGCCCCTCAGATCCTCAGCATGAGCTCCCAGCCATCCAGGACGTAAATGCCAGGCGTCTGAGAAAGGCCCAAAGAATTACCAGCCTCCAGCCACCCGAGACATGGACTGTTCTCCATGCTTCCGTACGGCAGGCGGTACCGGTGCATCAAGGCTCAGACAAACAGACTCCAATACAGCTTCTATCCCCTGGCCATAAGACTGTTAAATAGCTAACATTTACTGCTCTCCCTCTCCCACAGACTATCCACACAGACTCTATGCCCATCCACAGGTCTCTACCCACTCAGACACAACCTATGCTGCTGCTAAAATGATTATTGATTAGATGTATTACTCCATTACGCTGTTGTCCATTGATTGCAATTACCATTAGTATTTATCTAGTTATCCTGCTACTGGTTACTATTACTTCTGTTTACATATTCAGTGCCTTCAGAAAGTATTGATACCCCTTGACTTATTCCACATTTTG